GGAAGAAAGAAAGAAAGAAAGAAAGAAAGAAAGAAAGAAAGAAAGAAAGAAAGAAAGAAAGGGTGAGTAAAGAGCCGGGCGGGCGGTGGTGGCACACGCCTTTAATCCCAGCGCTTGGGAGGCAGAGGCAGGCGGATTTCTGAGTTCGAGAGTTCAAGGCTAGCCTGGTCTACAGAGTGAGTTCCAGGACAGCCAGGGCTACACAGAGAAACCCTGTCTCGAAAAAAACAAACAAACAAAAAAAGAGTAAAGAAATGAGACAGTAAGATAAGGGCATTATCCTTTGGTGGTTTATACTGTTTTAGTCAGAATTTATGGGGAATAATTCATGCATATGGGAGCAGTCGATAAAGATTTTATACCCCGCCAACTTTACACGGCAAGCCTGCTGTGCCTGTTGCCCTGCCCACTTCTGTCATGGAATCCCACAATACAATGGACATTGCTGCTGCTTCCTGCTGGGGCACTTCAAGACACCGGAGCCTAGAGTGTCGGCTGCCCAGTGGCATGTCTGGTTGGAAGGTTGGAAGGTGGCTTAGTTCTTCTTCCTGATGGTGGGCTGGACTGCTGCCCAGGTTTCTATGCCCGGTCGTTAGCCCTAGTCAGCCTTCAGTGTTTGCTGTACAACTGGCCGTCTTATAAAGTGAGCTTATTCTTTCTTTTAACCGGACCCGAGATTCTTAAATTGTATAATCTCCTTTAGACTTAACACTATTAACAGTTTTAAAGGACCCATCACTTAAGTTTGATGTCTTTGCAGCCCAGACTTATCACAGTTATTGCCTACTGATCTGCACAGTAATTGTCCACCCTAATAGTTAATATTAATGTTCAGATAATCTGTCTCCTCTTTTTTATTTTTGTAGCTTAGGGTCATTGCAGCATGTACTTTTCTTATGTCTTATTTTTAGCTATAGTCTTTAAAAATCATTCATTTCTGTGTGTATGTTGTGCATTATAGATTTTTTTTATTTTTAATTTTATTTTTGTATGTGTATGTGTGCATTTAAGTGCCAAAGAAAAGGGTATCCACTCCCCAGGAACTGAGATTATATGGATGGTTGTGAGCTGCCATCTGGGTGCTGAGATTTGGATTCCGTACCTGCAGGAACAGCAGATGCTTTGAACTGAGCCACCTCTCTGGCCCCATTGTTTGTTTGTTTTTGTTTTTTTTTTTTTTGAAGCAGGGTCTCTCCCTGTATTCCTGCCTGGTTTCAAACTCACAGAGATCCTCCTGAGCCAGCCTTCTGAAGCTGGGATTACTGGTGTGCTCCACCAGGCCAATCCATTTTTTGAGGGGGACGGGTTGATTTTTGTTTTTGTTTTTTGTGGTTCTGTTCTGT